TGCGGCGGGGCCGGGCTCGGGAGAGGGTGGGGCCCCAACCTTTGTTTCCCATCTGCGCTCAAGGGAGACTCTCTCATCGGTGTGTTCGGTGCGCTAGGAGCAGTTGTCACCCGTTCATTCATCCACCTATTCACTCATCAGATAGATACTGAGCGCTGACCGTGTGCCAGTGAACAGACCAAAAAATGCCATGTTTTCATTCATCAGATTGGCAAGAATTTGAGCGTCCTAGGTAACAACCACCGGGCTGAGCACATGCTGTGGGTCAAAATGTTATCTGGCAGAAACGATTAAATCCGGGGCACCTGGGTGGCTCAGTCGGTTAAGCGGCTGCCTTCGGCTCAGGACATGGTCCCAGGGTCCTGGGGTCCAGCCCCACATCGGGGCTCCCTGCTCAGGGGGGAGTCAGCTCCTCCCTCTCCCTCTCTTCTGTGCGCATTCTCTCTCTCTCAAATAAATAAATAAAATATTTAAACAAAACAAACACTTTATCACAGCTTTATCCATAAGGACCAAAAATTGGAAGCAACCGAAATGTCCATAAACGGGTGACTGGCTCAGCACACCGTGGTCCATCCGTACCATAAAATAGTCCTCAGCAATAAAAAGGCATCAACTACTGATAAGTACAATAGCACCGATGAGTCTCAAAAAAGAGGATGGTGCTGAGTGACAGAGGCCAGGGACTTCTGAATGAAGTTCAAGGACAGGCGTAGCTAATCAACCCAGGGGAACTGGTAACTGAAAGTGGATTAGTGGTTGCCTTTATGGATGGTAGGGCCTCTGGGGCAGCTTCCGGGGGGAGGGGGGTGGACAGGAAGCAAGACTGTGGTTACACAGGTGGGTTCAGTTTGTGGCAATCGCTTGACTTCTGCACTTTTTTTTTTTTAAGATTTTATTTATTTGCGAGAGAGAGCATGAGAGACAGAGAGCATGAGAGGGAGGAGGGTCAGAGGGAGAAGCAGACTCCCTGCCGAGCAGGGAGCCGGATATGGGACTCGATCCTGGAATTCCAGGATCATGACCTGAGCCGAAGGCAGTCGCTTAACCAACTGAGCCACCCAGGCGCCCCGACTTCTGCACTTTCTTAACATGTTTCATTTTATTTTATTTTTTTTATTGTTATGTTAATCCCCATACATTACATCATTAGTTTTAGATGAAGTGTTCCATGATTCATTGTTTGTGCATAACACCCAGTGCTCCATGCAGAATATGCCCTCCTCAATACCCACCACCAGGCTAACCCATCCTCCCATCCCCCTCCCCTAACATGTTTCATTTTAAAATGGAAAAATTGTAAATAGGAAAGAAGGAGGTGGCCCTGCAGGTTGTAACAAGAGTGAATGTTTATAGGGAGCTTACTCAGCTTCAGAAGAGGGATTACGTGCTTTGTATTCGATCTTTATAATCATTTTCCAGTTGGGGAAAGTGACACAAAGAGGTTAAGCCATTTCTTAAGTGCTTCGTATTAAATCCTCGCAACCCTTTTCCGGTTGGAGAAGATGACACAGAGAGGTTAAGTAATTTCCCCACAGTCACCCACGTAGTGAGTGTGGGGCTATACACGGATTTGAACTCATGGAGCCTGACTTCACAACCCACAGGCACTCCGTAACCCTGCCAGAGTAGCCTGGCTAGATTTCCAGGTCCCAGTGGTTAGTAAAAATAGCAAGTTGAAAAATAGCAAGTTGTATTTAGTTGGTTAGTTGTGAACGGTATGGGGAAAAGAGAGAAACGACATTACACACACACACACACACACACACACATATATCTGCATGTAACTTAATAGAAAAAGATCTGAACATACCAGCCAGTTGTTGTCAGAAAGACCAGGATGGAGGGAGTGGGGACAAAAGGGACTGTTTCCCGATCTACAATGTTCTCTCTTTCCTTCTCTCTCTCTCTTTTTAATATTTTATTTTTTATTTTATTTTATATATATATATTTTTAAGATTTTATTTATTTGACAGAGGGAGACACAGCGAGAGAGGGAACACAAGCACGGGGAGTGGGAGAGGGAGAAGCAGGCTTCCTGCCGAGCAGAGAGCCCCACGCAGGGCTCCATCCCAGGACCCTGGGATCGTGACTTGAGCCAAAGGCAAATGCTTAATGCCTGAGCCATCCAGGCATCTCTCTCTCTCTTTAATAGGAGAAAATATTCATGTGGGTAATTAAAACTCTATTGAAAAAAAAATAGATTTAGGGGCTCCTGGCCCAGGATTGAGCCCCATGTCGGGCTCCTTGCTCAGTGGGGGGCCTGCTTCTCCCTCTCCCTCTGCCTGCCGCTCCCCCTGCTTGTGCTCTCTCTCTGTCAAATAAATAAATAAAAATCTTCAAAAAAGAAAAGAAATAGTTTAACGTGGAAGAAAAGGAACCCTTGTGCGCTGTTGGTGGGAAAGCAAATTGGTGCAGCCCTACAGAAAACCATACAGAGGTTCTTCAAAAAATTAAAAATAGAAATACCATATGAGCCAGGAATTCCACTGCTGGGTATTTACCCCAAGACGACAAAAACACTAAGTATAAAAGATATACGCATCCCTATATTCACTGAAGCATTATTTACAGCAGCTGAGATATGGAAGCAACCTATGTGCCCATTGACGGATGGCTGGATGAAGATTCAGTGTATACATACAATGGAATATTATTGAGCCGTAAAAAGAATAAAATCTTGCCATTCTTGACACCTTGCATGGACCTAGAGGGTATTATGCTAAGGGAAATCAGTCCGAGAAAGGCAAATACCATATGATTCCATTTCCATGTGGCATCTAAACAAAGGCACAAACACACAAACAAAACGAAACAGAATGATAAATACAGAGAACGGGCGGCGGCCAGAAGGGGAGGAGTGGGTGCACATAGGTGAAGGGAATTAAGAGGTACAAACCTCCAGTTATAAAATGCCTATGTCACGGGGATTAGAGAGTACAGCCCAGGGGATACAGTCAGTAAGATCGTAACGACATTGGATGGTGACAGATGGCATATCCACACTTACTGCTTAAGATACAGAATTGTCAGTTTGCTGTGTTGAGCGCGCCCGAAGGCAATAGAACATTGTCAACGATACTTCAATTAAAAAAAAAAAATCACCATAAAATTAAAATATATTTTAAAAATCGGTTTAATCAGGCTGGTCACAAAAGGATAAATGCTGTCTGGTTCCACTCATATGAACTCCCTAGAGGAGTCAAATTCATGGAGACAGAAAGTAGATGGTGGGCGCCAGGGGCTGGGGAGGGGGAGGGGAAGGGGGAGTTTGGGTTTAATGGCCCAGAGTTTCAGTTTTGCGAGAGGAAAGGAGTTCTGGAGAAGGATGGTGGTGACAGCTGCACAATGCTTGTGAATGTGCTTCATACCCCCGGATTGTACACTTGAAATGGATAAAATGGTAAAGTTTATGTTAGATAGATAGTTTTTTTTAAATAGATTTTTATTTTATTTATTTATTTTTTTTAAAGATTTTATTTATTTATTTGAGAGAGAGAGAGAATGAGAGACAGAGAGCACG